CCTAGAAGAATTAATACAAAGTCGACTCCCTTATAACACTATTGATAATTCCGTTTTACTTCATCATTCGTTTCTGTTGAAAAGAAAATCCATCAACAAGTTGTGTAACTTTCCCGGCTAAAAAGTTAAAATTGTATGTGGTGCCATCTGTTACGAGATTTTACTTTAAAAACTTTTCATTTTGTTAATTATTATTATAAAATAGCTTAATTTTGAGCTTCAATTTAATTTTCGTTACGTCCGACATCACTGGAGATACGCTAAGTCACCCCCCTCTATTTCCCCACCCCTTAGATCTTAAATCACCAAAACTTAATGGTATCAATATCCCTAATACAGAAAACTCCACGCAAAATTTTAAAAATTTTAGACAAAAGGCATAGGAGTTATTAAGCTTCGAAGTTAATAAAATCGTGTTCCTCAATACTAATATCCATACACAGAAAAAAAAATCCCCCAAATTTTTTTTTTCATTTCTCAACGATTCAAGGCTCTCCAAGTCGAAAAACATAAAAATTTTGAGGATTTTCTGTATGTATAAATGTTAGTGTGTGTGTGGAGGGGGGTGTACGATTTCCTTTAGTCAGTTGAAAGCTCTATAAATGAACAGTACGTTCCATTAGTAAATTATATTAATAATTGGGAGAAAGGGTAGTTTGATTTAGCAAACAATAAAGTATTTTTTTCCACTTTATTTTCCCTGTAAAATTCTTTAATATCAATACAAAATGAGAAAGTAGATGCAGCTAGTGGTATTCCTCTGATACCTATTTCACAACAAGTGGATCACTACTACCGAGCGTATCATTTCACAGTTCTTTTAAATTACTTTTCTTAAAGCTATTCTTGAGGTGGAAAGAAACAAATGATATGTTTCAACCAATCGAAAATACACGAAATGAAAGAATCAATTTGAGTGACACGTTGAAAGAGGAACAGATTAAATCGTGTCCTGAAGGACAGACAACTTGTAACTTAAAAAAAAATAAAAAAAATAAAGGAGAGAAAAAAACAGTTTCTTTTATTTCTTTACTTTCTTTGTGTTAAGTTTACGTATCCATGAATAAATTTCACGAACGATAAATAAGAAGAAACTTCACGTCTGAGAGTCTTGTAATGGAAATTCTTTATACGTATGGAACAACTTTTGACACGTGTTTATTGTAGAGTTATGTGTTTAAAGCTTCCACGTGTTCACTGACCATCTATAAATGGGGATACATTGTGGAAAGGAAAGCTGCTGAGTCGTTAGGAAA